CCTTAGGCCTTTCCCTTGGATCCCTGGGCAAATCCGTCTGTTACCTCCCAACACGGTGCTCTGCCCTGTCTGTGGCACTTGTCTCTAACTTGTCTGGCCTGTTCTGTTAGGACTTCAGGGGCTTAACCACAGCTGTGGCTTTTGCCAGGCTGGATCCCAAAGGCAGTAGCCAGCCCTTCCGCCTCCCAGTGGGATGTGGGACTTTGCCTCCAGGTTGACAAATAGTTGCATATATTCCTCTCATTTCCTCATAACAAGCCCAGCGTGTGAGAGGTTTGCCCAGTATCACGAAGATCGTGTGAGAGTCAGGGTTCTTCAAAGCCAGCATGTGAAAGACTCAACCAGTACAGGCACATCCCCTCGTCTGAAAATCTGCAATCTGAAATCCTCCACATCCAAAGCTTTCTGAGTGCTGACATGACGCCGTAAGTGGAACATTCCACACCTGGCCTCATGTGATGGATCAGAACTTTGCTTGATACACAAGTTATTTAAAATATTATGTATGAAATTGTCTCCAGGCTGTGTGTATAAGGTGTATATGAAACATAAATGAATTTTTTATTTAGACTTGGGTCCCATCCTCAAGATATCTCATTATGTATGTGCAGATATTCCAAAATCCAGAAAAATTCCAAAATGGAAACACTTCTGGTGCCAGCATTTTGGATTAGGGATACTCAGCTTGTTTCACGTAGACCAAATGAGAGTCAAGGTTCTAATCAGAATTTTCCGAGTTCATATTAAGTGCTCTTTCTACAGCGTGAAAATACCTGTTTTCATAAAACTGTGTTAGTAGGAACCATCTTACTGGAAGTGTCTTCGGCCTGGCAGTCTCCCAGTGACTAGTCTCAGCTTTGTCTTGTTTCCACATTTTGATGGGTCGTCTGCTGACTCAGATACCATGAGAGCTCACAGGAAAAACCCCCCCCTCGGGATGATACCAGGGAAGAAGTGTTTTCAGAGATTTCAGTGCTCTGTTTCCTCCTGTGAAATGCAGGCTGGGTCTTCCCACGCAGGCCTCCTTCCTTCCTGGTCTGCACGTGGGATGTAGACAGTGAGCACACCCCTCTTTCAGCATCCTGGGTATAGAAGCCCGATGAAAGTATAAGCCTTGTAAATATTTCAAACTAGAATTAGCGAGAAGCCTAATTTGAGAATTACCTGCAGAGAGGACCTACGTATAGAAAGTTGGACTATATTTGGCCCATTCAGATTGAAGCACTCTGGAATGAAATTGGCTATGCCAGAATGTCAGAGCCGTAGGACAGTCACAGTGCATCTTCTAGAAGGGCCAGCTCTACTCAAGGAGTTAGGAGGAGAGATGTGTTCATATTAAAACCCATATGTACGTATTGTGGAGTAGAAAACAAAATTTGTATGATTGTGTAAGATAAAGCGGTTACTAAAGTGTATGCTGTGGGCCGCTTTGAGCCACACTTTCTTACTCGGGCGTTACTCTGTTTAGTGTCTGCCTCTAGGGTATTTCAGTGGCTAAGCTTTAGATCTTATACCTTCTGATAAAATTGTCATTTTCTTTAAATTAAAAAAAAAAAGAGCGTATGTACTGTGCTGAGAGAAGGAAGCTGCCGTTTAACTGAGTGCCAGGTGCTATTGTGGTGGTCTCCTCTCGATCAGTTAATGCAAACTGCTGGTCAGAGAGAGGACTTTGTTTTCCTAAGGAGGAAATGGACCCCTACGGCATGGAGTGGACCTTGGCTCGGATAAACAGAGCTGATGAGCTGCAGAGCTGGGTTCTGAAACCAGGACTCATGGTACCAAAGGCCTATAGTAATAAATGATCTATTGAGTTTTCTTTATTTTTTTGGCTTTAAAAATTTTTTTAAGGTGGACATTTTTAATGGGACAGAACAGAAGCAAAAAAAATGTGTAGAGAAAAAGGGTTTTAAGGGCTGTAACAGACTGTGCTTGCAGTGAAAATGTCAAAAAGTAAAGGCTATCTCATGACCCTGTTTTATGTTCAGATATAAGTTATTATATTTTTGTGGTACAAAATCATAAAAACACAGATCTCAACATGTATTTTTTTTAACCTGAAAATACCTATTTTGGGAAATGTGGACGGCCACTATAGCAGACCTTGGTTCAAGCTTCCATAGTGACTTTGAAATCCCAGCATAGTTCTTGATTTAGAGTAACTTTTATTCTGGACTATCTTGATTCCTCAGGTAATAGTTCATTTGGGTTTTGTTTTATCTGTTGTGATCTCCCTCCAAATATTACTTCCTGCAAGGGTGCTTTGGTAGCATGTAACTTTTCATTCTTTTAATCAAAGTGTTAATGTAACAGACAGTTGGCCATTGGATTGCAGAGTGGTTAGATTTGTTAAGTTAAAATAGCCTTTAACTGTTACTGAATGTAAATAAGCCATACAGCTCAAGGTACTGTTTTGAGCTGTTTTTTTTGAGTTAATTAAGAGATTCTCATCTTTCTCATTAGTGCTTTGTGAGGGGGAGGGAAGCAACACATCTTTGAAGAAAAAAACAATTTATGATTTGGAAATGGAAATATGTGATTTAGCCAAAGAGTGGAAAGACTGCCTTGATTATAAGAGCACTGGTTACTTTGCTTTCTTTTAAGAATAGTAAGTAATGAACTAAACACAAGGAAGAAGGCTCCTTGCTTACTGCCATCCAGATTTAGAAGAATAAAGGTTTTAAGAGAAAATACCTGTTTATAGATTTATAAGACAGCATTTATACTTCTAATTGTGAGAATGGCTCTGATTTCTTAAAATTACACTTCTGTTTAATTTAAAAAAACTAATTGGCTATGTCAATGTGTAATATTTTCTTGTAGAGAACTTATTTTTGTATTTTAATTTTAATTTTTTTTTTATGTTGGAATATTATGGGGGTACAAACATTTTGGTCACATAGAATGCATCTGCCTTGCCCAAGCCAGGGCTACAAGCGTGCCCATCCCCCATACAGTGCACTCTGCATCTGCGAGCTTACCCACCCCCACTGCAAATTAGTAGAACCCCTATGGAAAGTAATTTGGAGATACCTCAGCGAACTTATTTTTAGTTAGGGCTAGAAAGTATAACGCACATTAATTTGTACTTTGTTGGATAAGGGAAAAGCCCCTGTTTCATTAATGCAGTTTTACATTCTAACTTAAATTACTTTTCTGTAGAATATTTAATGTTCTCAATTGCTGTTTTATTTTGTTATTTTTATTTGGATGCTGTTTTTCATCCTTTATACCGATGGCTGAAATTCTTGCTAAATATTCCCATCGTTGGCTGTGATCCCTTGTGCAGGGAGCACACAGGAGCCGTGGCTGGTTCTCTCCGTCCCGCAAAGCCAGGGCTGCTGACTCTTGCCCTTGCCTCCTGCTCCTTGCTCAGAGCATCTACTTGTGCCACAGAACCCCACAGAAGACAGTTATCCTAACATCTCTTTTAGGCTTATACATAGGTTGCTTTAAAGAGAAAGTTAAATTGTCTTTTTGAGAAGACAGTTTTGTTTTCTGAGATGTTTTACTATTGTTTACTGACATGAAAGCCTGATAACACAGGTAATATCTCTCCTACTAGATACAGTATTTTTTTTCCCACAGAAATCAAGGACGAGTGAAGTTGTTAGATTTCTGTTTTTAAAAAAATGCATACAAACGTAATTCAAATCCAGAAGTTAACATTTTATATTTTTGCTTTAAACCATTTATAGACACACTGGTGATTCTATCGAATCTGAAACACAGAGATTTGTGTTTGGGGATATGTAAGGGATTCTTACAGTGAGTGTCTAGAGATTGCACTAGATTGCTTTGAGTTCCATTTTCATTTTAGAAATGCTGAGTCAGCTCCTTGATGCCGTGTGCCAGCACAGCCGGGGCCGGGCAGGTCTGTGCCAGATGAGTGAGTGGAAAATGCAGTGTTCAGAGTCACTGTTGCTTAAGGCTCGGACAACAGAAGTAGCTGTGTGTCGAGATAGCAAAAAGGAAGAGTCTTAATCTGTTCTGCACTGGTGGTTAATCCAGGGTTCCTTTTTAGCAAAAGTATTTCCAACCTATGTCGCATAGAGATGTGACCAGGAGGATAAAGGAGCTAAAAACCGAAAAAAAGAGACTTAGGGTTTTGGAGACATCCTTAAATATTTGAATGATGTGAAGGAAAGGTATTAAATTTTGTGTTGTTTCAAAAAGGCAGAACCTGAATGACCAAAAACAGAAAAACAATCAGGTAATGACTTTTAGACCAACGTAAGAACTTCTTGACCAATCGTTACCTGAACACAGAGCGGACTGTACTGAGAGGTCGGCAGTGGGCTCCCAGACACACCAGAGCTCGGATAAGGCTCCTGCTGGTCTCAGGCTCAGGTCTGCAGAGTTCGGGGCTACTCCTGAGCTGGGAAGGAATTCTTGGAGTCTAGAATGGGATCTGGAGAGAGGTGACAGCAGAGGGCTAGGGAGGAAGAGTGGTAGACCCTTGGTACCCAGGAAAGGGCGGCTGCCACCGGTGTAGTTCCCGGTGGCAGGAACCGGGTGAACCCACCTACTGAGACAGGAGTGCCAACCTCCCTATACCCCAAGAGAGCAAAGAAGTTTTTCTTGACATTCAAAGTAGAAATTAAAAAGAGAGGCAAAGGAAGAAGGAGGTTAAGTGTGTTTGATAATTCCATAAAATGGAGTGTATCTGTTTGAGTCCGTTAATTTACATGAGTGAGTTAACTTAAATTTATTCTAATGAAAGAACCATGTTTGTTTAATGTGTGAATGTATGAGGTGAATTTCATCTTTGAGCCATGATTAATGGAAGAATAACTTACAAAAGTTTTGGGTAACTTATTTTGAAATAACAGAGCTAAAAATGTGCAAATTTTATCATCTTCCAACAGTGATTTTAACCCAGTTTTCTGTACGTAACTTTGTGTGTGTATCTGTGTGTCTACTTGTCTTCATGTGTGCATTTCATGTCTGTGCTCGTGGAGTTCACTGAATGAAAATTAAAGTCAGTCTGTTGTCAGTTGCAGGATGAGGAGCGGAGGCGCCAGCAGCAGCTAGAAGAGATGCGTAAACGGGAAGCAGAGGACCGCACGAGGCAGGAAGAAGAGCGGCGGCGTCAGGAGGAGGAGCGAATAAAGCGAGACGCTGAAGAAAAGGTCATGGTCCTCTGAGGGCAGCTAGTGTCTTAAATTAGCCTGAACACAAGCAATTGGCTGGGGCAGAGGGGCTTAGGTGTCTCAAGGTGCACAAGACAGAGCAGGGCCTGGATCCCCCAGCTTCTGTTATTGGACCACAGACTTAGCCCCATCTGGCCCACCTACCTCTCCTCTGGACTGTCTCCAGGCTCCCTTACCTTCCTGTGTTACCTCCCTCCAGCTTCTGACTCGTAGGTCTGTGTAGCAGTGAGCCTCTTTGCAAAGGGTCTGCTAGTGGGGGCTCTCATCTTTACTGGACATGGTCCAGCTTGTTACTGTGAAGGTGATGTCTGCTCAGTTATTGTTTAAGTTTAAACCATGGGAGGCAATGGGAACATAGCAAGACAGTCTGTTAACGTTAGACATTTCACATAGACTATTGACTGAAATTACTCAGTTCTGGTTGGTGGTAAAGAGAGTAGATGGCTTATACAAGGAAAATTTAGTATGTAATCTGGTTTATTTCCATATGTGCTTTTGTTTTAATTCAAGAAATTCTTTTATAATTTAATTTTAAAACGGCAACTAATTTTGACATCCTGAGAGATAGGCACTTGAGATGTTGTTCTCCAGATGGCTCTTTGTCTTGTGTGTCCGCAGCTGAGGCCTTCGGGATGAGGCGGCTCTGGTCATTGAGTTCACTTGGGGGGCGCGGGGTGGGGGTGGGGGGAGGGGGGGCTGTCTCGTCCCGAGGAGATTGCATGTTGCTATATGTGTTGTGAGAGAAGCTGTTCTTCTCTGTTACTTCCCTTCTGTGAAGGTAGAAGCTTTGAGTGTTACAACTTCTGATGGGGAAAAAGTTTTTACTAATAATTCCTTCCTTGATAGTCCAGTGAACTATATTAATAGAACACCCCTGCCTCCCCCCAAAGAAAGAACTTTCAGGAAGCTTTTTGTAGTGACATAATGTATTAGGGTACAGAACTAGCCAAGAGTAAGACTGGTAGACATGACGTGACTCATTTCAATGCAAGTTTCAATACACTGAAACTTTGAAATTAGTGATTTATGCATTTTATAGACCTTCACCCTCTTTGAAGTTTATTATCATACTATCTGTTGTGTCTGAATAGCTTTTGAAGTATTCTCAAAGAGTTTGGGTTTTCAGGATTAGGTTACCTTGTGAGTCTTTCACTTGTTTAATGGTAAGTTAAAATTGATGATCTTTCTAAGGAAATCAGATTCCCAAAATTTTGAGCCACTTGATTTCTAAGTGTTTATGGTGTTTGTTGTTGTTTTGCTATGCTGTGAAAGCCCCTCTTGCTGTTTGGAAGGAGATGCTCTTCCAGTTCTGTGCCAGCATGGGCTTCCCACGCCCTAGGCTGCACTCGCTGCCGTAGTTAGGTCCTGGCCTGGCCTGGCCTGGTCGGAGCAGCGGCGGGGCAGCCCGACTACCACTTCAGAGTGGTGCACATGGAGAGAAGGACGAGGCTGTGCTTTCTGTGTTGAGAAATTCTTGGGTTATTAACTTTTTCCAAAATGTATTTTCACAACTCATTATGTCACATACACTTATGTTTTAGTAACTGCTTCTATAATTGAGTGGTCACTGTAAAAAGAAGCTGAATAACCTATTTTTTACACAAAATGTCCAAAATTGCTGGCTTTGCTTTGTTATAGAAAAATGTGCCATTCATTTGTTGAGTAGAATAAAATCATCTTGCTGTAATTGTATCTACTCTTGGTATAACTAAAAGAGGATGTTTTGGTTTCTCCCTAAAATGTTATCAAGCAACCAACTGTTCTTTCATGTTAATACTAAGATTCTTGATAGGTTCATTTAAAAGCCGCAGAAGTCATTCTGGTTTGATTCCTGACCCCAGGGGAACACTTTGTGTAGATAAGAAGATAAAAATGTCTTTCCTTCAGGATCTATCAACATAGAACAAGAAGATACAGCAAGAAATTGGGCTCAGGGCAATGATGGGGCCGCGCTTATTCTTAGATTTTCCTCCCTCGGAAGCTGAGGCAGTGACCATTGTGTGTCCGCTGCGTGCGTGTGGCGGAGGGAGTGGGGACAGCGTAAAGGTTACAGTAGGGACTGAAACAGACCTGGGGCCAGCAAGACCTAAGACCAGTCTCCTGGGTGGAGTGAATCTGAAACTCGCGCTAAACGCCACTCGAGGCAGAGTCTTCTGTTGGATCTTTCATCCCTTCCTGTTTACTTTTTCCTTGTGCTCTGAAACTTTTGTCAATCTTAAAAAACTGTGCTGTTACCTTTTTTTAATGTTAAAAGAATTTTAACACTGTCAACTGTAGTTTGTGCAGATGTATGTTAGAAAAAATGTACAGTATGTGTCAAAATATATTTGAACATCTTGTTGCTGTTACAATTAACACCTGGCTCTCTACTTTTCTGTAAGGAGTTTACTAAGACTTGAAATATAAGTTAAGAACTATGGAAAGCATATTTGTTAGATTACTGCTTTGGGAAAATGAGTGGTTTTTTACAGTTTGTGGTTTCCTGTGAATTTCCCTCCTCACACCTGGAGGTGAGCTGGGGTTGCTCATGCCATCCCTGTCCAAGAGGCACTGGGCTGAGCTGTCCCGGGCTCGCTGGGAAGCACACAGGCCTGCCCTGGGCGTGCTGGCCGTAGACAGCCAGGTAGAGCCGACGTTTAGTCTTGTGTTGTCCTTAAAGACAGCGTAACAGGTAAGTTAACGCCCTGCCAGGAGCAAAACGGCATAAAGGAAAGAGGAAGCAGGCAGGAAGGCAGGCAGAGGGGCGCTAAGTCCAGCTGAATGGTTGAAAGGGGGCAGTGACCGGGAGTCAGAGCCTAAGTGTGAATTCAGTCTATGCTTTTGAGCAGTTTTCCGTCAGACACCCCAGAGTAGCGTGCGTTTTCCTAAGTCTCAAGAGAAGACTTTCCAGGTTGACCTGCAGCTTCTGTTACAGTAATTATGACATTTAAACTTTGATGTCCCATGGACTCTTCCGTGTGGTGATGGGGACTGCTCCTTGTGATGGCCTAGTGGGTGGGCCGTCCGCTCCTGACCTCTGACCTTTGCACTCTTGTCTATTCCCGCCTACAGAGGCGACAGGAAGAAGGGTATTACAGCCGCCTGGAGGCCGAGAGGCGCAGACAGCACGACGAAGCTGCGCGCAGGTTGCTGGAGCCCGAGGAGCCCGCTCTGTGCCGCCCTCCACTTCCTCGGGACTACGAGCCCCCGTCCCCGTCCCCTGTGCCCAGCGCCCCTCCTCCCCCGCCTCAGCGAAACGCCTCCTACCTCAAAACCCAGGTCCTCTCCCCCGACTCGCTGTTCACTGCCAAGTTTGTTGCGTACAATGAGGAGGAGGAGGAGGAGGAGGACTGCAGCCTAGCAGGTCAGGATAAGTACTCCAGCACCAGGAAGTCTCATGGAGACCTTCTTCCTGCCCCCCTTAAGCCACAGCTACCCCCCTGCCTGCCGCGCCCAGCCTCGGATGGCATCTCTCTCTCCAACTCATTCCAGCCACCCTCGGCCAAAGCCAACAGTACTGCTCACAAAAAAGGCCAGCCCCTGCCCCCTCCAAACAAACAAGGCTCCTACCATCCCAGCCACCGCACAGGTAGAGGTAAAAGATAGAATGACAAATCAAGCCCTCTGTGTCTCCATGATTGGAACCTTGTAATCTCCCTGCACACTTGCCACTGGGGTGTGGTCCATCGCCATCATCCTTGCTTTGGAATTTGGATTTCACTTGATCACTTGTCTCTGCCCGGTGATCTCCTCTACCTCCAATTGTGATTTCTGTGCTGGCAGCTCTGATGTCTCAGTGCTCCAATTTCTTTATGCTTTAAAACGTTCCATTTCTCTGATCAGCTGACAACAATCAGTCCTCCGTTACTCCCTGAATCACTGGAAGTACTGTTGGTCTTGGCTTTCATTCTCTGCCTCTTCAAATAATTTTTATTTTTGGTTGACCAAGTGCCTTTTCACACATTTTAGTGTCTTTAAAGATAAAGTGTTATAGTTACATTTTAAGTTTCCATTATTTAACATGAGTAGAACTTTTTGTTCTGGATTAAGTGGCTTTTTGTGGTGATTGGTTTTTTGTACTTGGAGCATCTGCTAAGCATTTGCTAAGCTGGTTAACCGTCTGGCTCTATGACCTCAATGCAGGCTACCTCTGCCAAGGGCCGGAGATCCTAGTCATTGTGAAATTCCTCTTTCCTTTTGCCCCTTTAACCATTCTCATTCCTTCCTGCTACCTTGCACCCCAGCACCTCGCAGCACTAGCAGCCAGACCTTAGTAAGCATGCCGTTGCCATTGGTTGTACCCTCTAAATCCACAGCGGTGCACGACGGTCCTCCTGCCTGGGACGGGACCTAGAGGCTACTGCAGGCATAGATTCAGTAGTCAGTTTTTGAGATAGCACTGAGTGTTGTGTTTAACATATAAGTACATTATGAGGATTCAGAATGAACGCAAGTCTTACCATAAATGAAATTAGAATTCTGGCACTAAACATCCTCAAATACAGTAATGTTACTTTTAACGAGTATGTTAAGAATCTACTAGATTCTCCATAAACAATGTGTAGGACTCAATTCTGAAAGAAGTTGAATCTTGTAAGATTTGGTGTAATAGTGACTCTTACATAACAAATGAGTTTTGGCGGAATTCTGTTTTTTTTCTCACCTGGATCAGAGCTTTGATCCACTTTGAAGGTTTAGTGTATTAATATTTAGATTGAGTCATTTTGGAAGACAAACTTAAACGTTTTTGTAAAATATCTATTATAAATGTATAGAATCTGGTACCTTTTAAAGACATTTATGGCATAGTAGTAAATTTTGAAGCAAGATGGCATCAGTCTCCTTGTATATCAGATTTTATAAGCTGAACTATAAATATTTTATAAGTGGCATGACACAAATAGGAGGTTTGGTAGCAGAGTGTTGTAGCATCGCTTCTAACCATCTTGACTCACACTCACCCCACTAATCCTTATTCTGTTTCACACTTAAAGTACCACATAGGAGCAGGTTATATCCTGTGTCTGATTGCTCGACCTCTGTGAAGACTCCTTTGTAAAGCCCAGCGCCGTCTGCACCACACGCAGAGGGCATTCTGACCTTGTCATCTCTCATCTCGCCCACACTGTCTTATTCCTGTTCGGCTCTGTTTCCGTCGTGAGCGCCATGGGAAAGCATGCTTCTGCAGACCGGACTTGGTTTCTTCCACTGGACGGTGTGAGGAACAGAATTAGGATGTGAATTGGAATGAATAGTATCAGATTTCAGCATAGCAACATATTAACCATTTGTTACTAAAGCTCTTTGGAAATTATTTGTAATTTGTATTATTCACACATAGTCAGCTGAGAGTATTTGATATTCCAGTTAACTCCTAAAAGTTCTTAAAATTTGAAGAACTGATTTTACCAGTGGAAAAAGCCAATATCATTCTTAAAACAAAGTTCAAAAGATACAGCACAGTGTTTTTAAAAACAAAATAAAGAAAAAATTTGGAATTAAAACTGAAAAAACAATCTCGCCATGCAAATAATTTATCTTAAGGCCCACTTTGGTTTGCCTTAAGGTGGAAACGTGCTCTTGCTCAGTCTCGTGAGTCATTGCTGAGGGTGACATCCTCCGCAGTGACCGCAGAAACCGGGGCAGGAAGCAAAGGCGCAGTGCGGCTGGGCGCTGCACTCATCCGACACGGGTCAGATGTTCGCACGGCGTGTCCTGTTGTAAGAAGAGAAACAAAAATTCGTTTTTGTGTAACTTGACTACAAAAGAATTTTAATGTGAAAATATTGTAATAATTTCGTGGCTTACTTAATCCAATATTCAGTGCTGTCAGTGTTTGCTGAACACATTGGGCGTTTATTGCTCCCACCTGTATTAATTACTAGAAGCAGATTTTTCAAGTGTGAATTTATTTTTCTTGCTAACTTTATAATTAATAGAAATACATTAATCATCATTTCAATAACATCGTATTAGTGGAAGTATCAGCTTATACTCGGATAAATTTTAAAACTTCTTATCTGCACTGTCTCTTTTGATCTTCAACAGCCCATGGAAGCTGACTGGCAGACGCTGTTGCTGACTGGCTGGTTACGCTGACCCACGGGTCTGGGCCGGTCAGCGCTGGGGCCATGGGCAGGGGCCGCGCAGTCTTCCCTTGCACCGTGCCGCGTTGAGTCTCATTTTTGTTTTGTTCGTGATTTTTTATCTGCACCGCTAGTATCAAACAGTAGGAGTTTTTTTGGTAGCTCATGTATTTAAAAAGTTTTGCTTTGTTTTGTTTTTAATAATTATAGCCATTTATCTTGAAAGAGAAATTCAATAGCTATCCTGAAAAGGGGAACTTCAATTATGTGATTACTTGTAAATCTTTGGGTTTTATTTGCTCCAATAATTTTGTAAGAAAAATAGGAGTGTGTCTGAAAGGTTTTGCCTCATCTCCCCATTAAGTAACTCTTTTCTGGACTTGTCTTTTTAATATATGATTATAATGTGTTTTATATGATTTGAACTTTTTGGATAGATACTCATTACAATTTTCCTCTCTGATAATAAAGGACATGAGGTCAGTTATTAACATTTAGCACCTTTTGAAGATAGTGATTGGATTGCTCTGGCCACTAACAGTTGTAAACTTCAAATTGATGAATCTGATATAACATGAAGAGCCTTTTGCCTTATCTATTCAGTAATTAAAGATATCTTATTTTTCTGTGAGCACTACGTCTTTATCATAAGTTAAGTTTTGGAAATAATTCAAGTACTTTAACTTACACTTTTTCTTTTATGGACAAGGACCCAACTCTTACATGGGATCTGCCGGAACAGTTATTGGAGCCCACGATGCTCCCTGGGACCCGAGAGAGAAGCGCTCTAAAAGGTACTGGCAGTTGTGCTGGATGCGTAACTTCACCCGTCAGTGATGACTTCTTTAATTCTCTCAACATCTTTAAACTGTATAAAGCTGGATTGAAATTTCAGAGACTTCATTATCAGCTCAGATGTTTCCCATTGTACAAAATCATGTGGGCATACAAGCTTTTTAAATTTTGTGTTGCTAGTATAGTTCTGATTCAGACCGTGAAATGGGTCCTGGGCTTACTTGTAAGAAAATTAGAAGCAGTAGGACCTGCTGCTCTCTGCTTCCACCAGAGAAGGTTGAAAAATCAAGGACAGTGTCCAAAGGTCTTGTTAGACCAAATAAGGCCAACTCTGATGGTGTACAAAAAAATAAGTAGACTTCATGGTTTCACTGAATGTCCTCACCTAGATTGTAGTTAGAAATGCTGTTGCCCCAACCATTCTTAAAATATTGAAGCTGAACTAACCAGAAAAATCTTCAGTACCATTCTATAACTTACTATTAAATTAGGTATATTTATAGATGCCTCAGGTATGTATAAGATTCATTAAAATGTTGTATTTTAAAACTGTACCCCTCAGTTAAACTTGTTTAACTGATAAGAATTACCTGCTTGCTAAAATTTAACTGATTTGTTTTTTGAGAGTTGAATATGACTGGGGATAGTTGATGTTTTAATAAGCAGAACATTTTGCCCTTTTTTTCCCGTGTGGGTTTAAATACAGCCCCTATAATTTTAATTAAAGGAAAAATAATAGCAAAATTTAACAAAGAATGAGTCTCTGAAAATTTTAATTAGTTGCCCATTATACAAACTTACCTAATTGTTAACAAGTTATTTCTACTTTAACCAGTAATCTTTTGTATTTCTCTCTCATGCAGCCAAGAGGCAGATTTACCTGGAAGTTCTGGAGCCCCTGAAAACTTGACATTCAGAGAGCGCCAACGTCTTTTTTCACAAGGTCAAGATGTGTCCAATAAAGTAAAAGCTTCTCGTAAATTAACAGAACTGGAAAATGAACTGAACACAAAATGAAAAACGGGAGAAGGGCACCTTGTATTTACCCCAAAATTCTCTCAGTTGTGGGTTTTAGGTGTGAGTTTGAAGAGGAAAGAAGGGGGAGGTTATATTGCTGAGTGATTAATAATTTCTGTTTTTAAAATGGTTGGGATTTAGAGATGTTTCAATTCCAAGGAATTTTATTTTACTTTACCAAGAGATTGTCATTTATGTAATTTAAACACTGTTTAATTTCTTAATTATCTGACTCACATGAAGATAACTTTTTTGTTAGTTTCATTTTTGGAGTCTTGGGTTCAAAGGGGATAGAATGAGTGGCAGGAGGAGATAATGGGATGTGTCTTCTCTCTCATCTTCCCCCATAATCAACCTAGGAGCACAAAGAAGTTCTATTTCTCTTCTTTTTCAAAAACCAATTTAGTCATCAAACAGAATAGCTCGAACTACTCTGACTGTTGTTTGCACTATTTAGCAGCGACTACACACTGTTGTACAGAAGAGAGAACACATGAAGGTATGGTCTCCACGTCACCTAATCCGGTCTGCTCGTAAGATGTCCTTTTAGTCTGCCTTGTGCAGCAGTCCAGATGGCAGCTTCCTGTAAGTAAGATGATGCACACTTGAGACTGTTCTGTCTCATTCCATACAAGTCTAAGCCCTCCTGATCAATTCTAAATATTTGATTTAAAAAAAATTCTGAAGAAAATTTTAAGAATTTAAGCTTAGGTGATTTTATTTTTATAAATACCAGATTATTGTTAGACTTAATTAAATCATTGGTGGATTTAAAGATGACAGCTATGTTAGAAAATTAACTAATAGTTTAGATATTTCAAGGGCTCTCTGAAAGAGGATGTCTCTGGCTGAACAGTGTTCGTGTGACTAGGAACAAAAGTATCTGAGGACAGGACGTTGGTGGAGACACTCAAGCACAGCTATCACTCAGATTCCAGATTTGTAGGAAATTTGCACTGATGGGCTAGCACACACAGGGAAAGGGAGAGGTTCAATTACATATGGCATCTGTAATTTAAATATTGTAAGAATAACTCTTATGGCAGTTCGGGCTATTTTTTTATAGTATAATAGAGTTATTTAATTTTGATTTGTATAATTTTTAGTTACCACTGTCGTTTCTTCAGCTATGGACCTATGGTTGGTGTTGGGGAGATGGGCCTCTGTCTTACACTGTGTGATGTGAAGATGATAAATTACTTGTGACTGTAAGGAGATTTTCTATTTGATACAGCCCTGTGCTGCGGTCCAGGATGTTTTTGTTCTCCTACAAATATGTATGTTAGGAAAATACGCACACTTTCAAAGAGAAGAATAGAGGCTTTTGCTGCCTTAGAAATCACTTTTAATAAGAGTTGTATGATTAATCATTAAAAATGCGAGTGTAAATATTTTTGTGTGTCTATCAGGGTTCTTATTTGAAAGTGTGCTTTTACCACTACCCTTGTTTCAATAAGAGAGTGCAGTGGCCCTGCGTGTGTATGAAGGATTTGCTTGTTTGCTCCAGAGGTTCTAGGAAAAGCAGGCTCCTCCCAGGTATTTCGAGAGCACTGGCAGCCTTAAGGTGACGAAATCCACACTTTCCCTAAGGAAAAGAGATGCAAATGAATTACTTCTCTGTTAATATATAGAAAAACAAATACACATAAGTACATACAAATACATGTAAATATCTACATACAGGGATATTTGTATGTGTGGTTGTAAAACCCCTAAACAAGTGGATTTGGCCATCTTTGGACAGTGAGGTCAAATGTGAATATATGTAAAAGTGCTTTTCATAACTCTGCATTACTATGGAAAAAACATCAAAACTGCTGTAGTTTTCCATTTCTACTGTATTTGAGTTGCAACCTATTTTTAATAAACTTTGTATGTATTTAAGTGTATTTGCTATTATTTTGAAAGTGCTGACAAAGTTTATATTTGTAACATCAGCCTTCCTCTCCCCTGTCTTTTTTCATCTGTTCATTCATTCATTAAACATTTCCTGAGTATCATTTCTGTGTCGGACAGTGGTTTTTCATGGGGCTGTGTCTGGCTAGCTGGCTGGTAGCTCTCACAGCAGTCTCATGTGCAGTTCCACCGCCGGGGCCTTCGTGACGTCAGCGTTGCGTGCAGCAATCCCAGCGGGTCACGTGGACCGTTTCTCAGTTATCCTGCCCCTTCATGGCCTCTTTGAAATTCCTAACTGTACCCAGCAGTAAGCAAACTGTGGAAATACAGTGTCCTGGTGAAATGCGTGTGAGTGCAAGAACCACTCAGAGTGGCGCCTGTAAAGAGTGCGTTTATCAGACAGGGACACGGCGGAGTGATCAGCATGCGGGATCTACGGGCCTCCCACAGTGCCTCTGAGTCTGCTTCCTCTGCCCTGGCCTGTTCCAGTGTACTTCTCCTGCAGCCTGTGAGCAGGAGGGCAGGCACGGGCAGGTCAGATGCTGCACAGTGCAGACGGGAGGAGTGACCTTTGAGATCTCTTGCACAGCGGAGTGACTGTAGTTAACAGTGTGTTGTAAAAATAAGTTAAAAAGGACTTTCACAGAGGAAGGAGTGTCTTAGGATCATAGAAACTTGTGTAGACATTGGTAGGACAGCATGTTTACATACTGGAACCATAATATTCATTTTTACTATATTTTGATGCCTAAAAAGTTACTTTAAAGTTTGGGAAGACAAATCCCTGTAGACTCAGTTTCATCTCAAGGCCTGTGTTTCTGTTGCTATTAATGGAAATAATGATTCTGATCTGCATTGACTTCAGTGGTCTGTCATATGGATCAGCAAAGTTCTTGATGATTTTCTGGTCCATACCATTGAACAAAATTCCCTTTATGTTTCATTGAATGGGAAACTGATTTCAAAGAATTAGTTAGATTTAGTAACATTAAACAAGAGTTAAGGGCAATGACTTGCAGAAAGGAAAATACATGCAAAAAGTTTATTCTGGTATTTCATCCAGTTTATTCAAAGAAGTCACGTAACCCCAAAAGATATATTAACTATATTAGAAGGCAGATTGGGATATAGAAGCCAATTTCTTGTGTATTTATCCAGTAAATATTTGCGGGTGCCTGCCCTGCATCATCAGGTGACTGGTCTCACAGTGGTTGCCTGGTATCCCAAGCACCTTGTCTCTACCCTCACAATGCATAGTTCTAGGAAGACAAATACATGCTTTATATAAATATATAGTTAGTAACTATTAATTGTATAAAGGAGGTGTATGGGGCACTCTGAGGGTAGACAGACCCATTTACAATTACTGTGGGGAGGGTAGACTTTTTTGAGAAAATGATTCTCTCTTTGGAGAAAGAAGACAGGCTGGAGTCAGAGCCCGGGCAGGGGAGGTGCAGGCAGTGGGGCTGGACCTACCAGGGGGCAAAGCAGGGGGATTTTCTAAGACGATGGGGAGAAGTTTGGTTTATATTCTTCATGCAATGGGAAGCCTTTGCCTGGTTTTGAAAAAGCGTGTGGGGCTCCGCAGCTTGCTTAGGAGGGTGACTCTGGTCACTGGAAGGGGAGGGGAGCCACGAGGAGGCTTGTGCAGAAGTTGGGGTGGGCAGGCCTGATGTTGAGTGACCAGAGGGGGTGTCACCCAGCGAGGAGGGCACAGTGGGGTCTGGAGTTGTTGGCACAGTTTGTTACAGAGGTGCCCAGGAGCAGATTGGGAAAGATGTCAGGGAAACTTCGCCTTCCCTTCAAATAAGAACCCGTAACCATGGCTTTTAGGTTGAGAACGGTACACTCACATGTTACTTCAGTGGATTAGATCTTATTTTTTTCTGCTCTTCTAAGGCTTATGTTTTATTCTTTTATAGAGATTATAGGCCTAAATGAATGGTGTTAAATTGGGGACAGTGATTCCAGCTTCAACTTGGCATTTTTAAAAATATAAAACATTACGTAATCTAACCCTTCTCCCCAAAATAAAGAGACCTGGGAAACACCAGGTTAATTGTACAGTTTGACTCATTAACAGCCATGTGAGTTGTATTTAACTCATGCTAGTTTTGAGCCCAGGGCCTCATGAAGCATACGCAACTCACACATCTCTTCATCTTGGGAGCCGTGAGAACTATTTTTCAAGTTGCACGTAACTCACACAGAAAACAATAAAAAAATAATAAATTTTTCATTAAATTAGGATTGTTTTGTTTTCAAAGGTTTTATTTTTGTAATAAAACACCATGGCCCCAAGGAAAACACTTTTTTTCCTAGTGTGGCAGTCAGTATTAAAAAATGTCCCGCCTGCCTCCCCCCAATTTTTTTTTTCCATGAGAACAGCCCCAGAAATATAAAAATAGCCTGAGTTGAGTAAAATATGTAACATGCTCTAAACAGCATATCCAAAAAAGGGAGATGGGCCAGGCATGGTGGCTCATGCCTGTAATCCCAGCATTGTGGGAGGCCCAGGCTGAAGGATCACTTGAGGCCAGAAGTTCGAGACCAGCCTGAGCAACATAGCAAGACTCCATCTCTACAAAAAATTAAAATCAGCCAGGCATGGTGGTGCACACCTGTTGTCCCAACTACTTAGGAGGCTGAGGCAGGAGGATCGCTTGAGCTCAGGAGTTGGAGGATGCAGTGAGCTGTGATTGCGACACTATACTCCAGCCTGGGCCACAGGGTAAGACCCTGTCTCAAAAAAATAAAAAAAGGGGGCGCGGAGCTTAGCCAGGTAGTGCTGGGCCTTTGATTTGTCCTGATTTCTACTACTGTCATCACCTAAATACTTGAAAATTACTGACGTAGATACAGAAGCTGACCAGAGTCCTCCACATCTTTGTGGACCGAGAGTGTGACTTCTTCACTGAAGCTCTTTCCCTTCCTGTAATGTGTGACGTTTATTGCTCGCTGTTTCAGGCCGTTTCATTGGTCTTCAGTTTATAATAAAGCGATAGCTCAGAGAAGACTGGTGTTGCCTTACATAAATAGTTTGATCAGGGCATGCTCAGAAAAAATTCTTATCTCCTATGACAAAAAAAGAAAAGGAATTAGTGAAATACGAACAAAAGTAGGAACTCAGGATGAAGGAAGAGTGCAAATGTGAGGACGCATCGGCAGATTCAAGTGGGAAGAAACTGCATGGGGCTCCTGGCGTCCTGGCTGTGACCAGCGCCGTGTCATCGGAACAGGAGTGACACGGATGCCTTCGGGGAGGAAGTTGCTCAGCGTTAGGTTCTAAGAGGAGTTCTGTGGCGCTGGACGTGGGTGGTACTGAATATTCTCCACTCAGGACTTTGCGGGGCGGACTCACGCACACAGGCGGGGCTCTGGCTGTTCAGGGCAGACGCACATGCATAACTCAGTGAGGCTTCCAGTCGGAATGTCCAGAGCCAGGGGTGGTAGAAGTAGTGTAAGCATTTTATTCAGCAGCTGTGTCATGGGGGAAAGAGCCTTCAGTGTGGAGCTGGGCTGAACTCTGCACACAGCAAGGACAAATGGGAATTTCTTTTTTTTTTTTTTGAGACAGAGTCTCATTCTGTCACCCACGCTGAAGTACAGGGGCATCATCATAGCTCACAGCAACCTCAAACTCCTGGGCTCAAGGGATCCTCCTACCTCAGCCTCCCGAGTAGCTGGGACTACAGGTGCTACCACCACACCTGGCTAATTTTTCTATTTTTAATAGAGACTGGGTCTCGCTCTTGCTCAGGCTCAAGAGATCCTCCCTCCCAGGCCTCCCAGAGTGCTGGGATTACAGGCATGAACCACTGCATCTGGCTGACAAATGGGAATTTGTAGCCAAGGAACAAGGTAGAGTCGGTGGATAGACAATGACTAAGAGGACACTTTGGGGCTGGAGGGGATTCTGGCTAAACTGACCTGCCAGGATTCTTGCTGAAGGCAGGCCAAGGTGACCCCCTGGAGGATGACGAACGTGATCAGATGTCCAGCGTGGGCGTGGGGGATTCTCGCCAAACTGACTCGGCAGGCGGGGTTTTGCTGAAACTGGTCAGTGCACACGTGAGGCCTGGTCAAGAAAGGCATGGAGGAACCCAAGATCTGGTTAAGGAAGGAGTCCTTGTCACTGGTGCCAGGAGAAACGGGCATCCTCATTGCCAGTCAACAGTGATCACATCGAATGTCACTGCCTGTCACCACTACTGAACTGTGAGCTCTGAGACAGCTGACACTTTTCCTCATCACTGTTTTCCTGGCATACACTACATGCTTAGTCAACAATTGCTGCATAAATAAGTGATAAGGACATGGCGTACTAGAAACATACCGGAATGGGGGCCAGAAAACCTCTGTCCACCCCTGGCCAGCTAGCACTGCCGTCTCCTCGAGCTTGTTTCCACATCCTTACGACACAGGCGGTGGTCCGGAGCAGCTCTGTCCGTCGAAATATAATGCCAGCCACTTTTCAAACGCTTCATCTTCTAGTTAACCACATTAACACAGTAAAAGGAAGCTCAGGTGAGCGCGAGTGTGGGACTGTTAGTGACCAGCGGGAGCTATGAGCATTAAAATATGGAGGTCACCTTTGACAACGCCTACCACTGGTGTTAATCATTAATAACGTCCAAGGGCTTTTTACATTATTGTTCCTTCATCTGAAGCCAACTTGGGCATTGCATAAGGCAAGCGGTGTTCTCTTTTGCACAAATGGGGAAATTGAGGCCGAGAGGTTCCAGTTACCGTCATTGATTTATTGTTGGCTAGTCTGTATCAAATGCTTTGAGACCATAACCCAAGTGAAGAGAAGGTGGGTCACAGTCCCAGCCCTGGACTCCCAGCCCTGGGCTTCTGTCCCCGCTGCCTGACGTCCCCTCTGTCACTGAGCTCTCCTTAGTTGCAGAAGGCACATTTGCAAACAGGTGCGGAGCAGTGAGTGTGTAATGAGAAGTTACACAACTTCTGGCATAGCTGTTTGTAGTTCTTACCAATGAAAAACTATTGCAACTTACCTACCAGAAACTAATACAGACTTATGGCTTAGTTACTACCTTTGAAGATGGTAGCTTAAAAATATGATTATACTTCAGATGATAGAATTGTATGATTTTTCTCTAGGGAGGAATAAAATTATTCTGGGCATATTGCTCTATCAAAATCCACCCATCATCCAGAACCATCTCTCCACCCTGCACCTGGAAGTGATCCCTCCTACCCGACATTCTCTAATACTCAGGACCCGTAACGAGAGAAGCATGTTACTGCTGGCATGGGGATCTGTCTTAAGGAGAAAACTGCCTTTCAAGGTTTAGGGCAAGCGTGAAACTGCCCTGCATGGGACAGAGGAACCCGTTGCTGCCTCTGACAGGATGCCGTGGACAAGAGTGAGATGGCGTGTGGGCCCTGTGTGGGGGCAGAGGAAGCAGGCCACAGGGGCGACTACAATGGCTGAACCGTCCATCGGCCATTGGGTGGTGTGACACCCGCTGTCCAGGAAGCCTGTGACATGTCTGCAAGTGTCACTCGGGTGTACGCTGGAGAAGCAGCCAAGTGGCCCCGTCTGGCAGGACGACCTGTGAAGAGGAGGAACCCAGAGGCGGCGGTGACTGCAGAATGGTCTTGGTGACGGTGCATGGAAGCGCAACCCAGGCCGCTCTGGCCTGGGCTCGGCCTGAGAGACCCGCCGGCGTGGGTGAGTCTGCACAGAGCGCAGGCAGCCTCGGTTAGCGCGCTCTGTCAACTCCATGCGAGAAGACCGGGCTGCTCCGGGACCTCCAGAGCCCTTTGTGTAAGCCGGCTGGTATTTGAGCACTGCGAGTCGAATGAACGCCCAGTTCATTTTCTAGACCTTTTAGATTTTAGTAGATAGCAGGCTGGTCCTCAGGGGGGCTTAGACCCCAGTTTGAAAAACCCAGTTCAAGTCTATTATAAACTTGTAGAGATACCCAGGCGCACTCATAAAACGTCACATTTTATTTCGAATGTTACCAGCCATCAATTTTTTTTTTCTCTAGAAAACCAGCATTTACTTTTACATTTTGCAAAAATGTTTACCATATTCTAAATGGCAAATTTGTGCTTTTTTGTTTTATGTTGTTTCATCTAAGAAATGCATGCATGTAGTTTTAAAGCATCAATGGTGCAGAAGCCTTATCAACAAGGTCAGTCTCCTGCCATCCTCCCCACCCGTGGTCCTTCTAGCCAAAGGAAAAAGCGATTTTTTTTTTCTTTTTAGTTTTGGACCTTGAATGCACAAGATATTCCGCACTTCATAGCTCATAATTCTCTCTGTCGATGCCATGTCTCCAGCCCGGGCCTCTGCTTTATTTACTTTTTCCTCCCCCATCTCCGACTCTCACACAGTCCCCACTGTGGACAGGGCCAGGCTGCTCTGTCTGCTCTGTGGTCTTTGTGGACAGTTCCTCACATGGCGCGGGCGGCCCGGGCTGCAGGCCTCATGGGTTCCCTGTTCTCTCCCGAGTCTGAACTTCAGTCTGTGCCCATCTGTTGTTGCTCCCAGAGCACTGGGCTCCAGCTTGCCGGCACCCCCCTGCCACTGAAACCACCCAGGAGGCGCCTGGGGAGGCTGCCAGGAGTAGGCCTGGCTGCCTGTCTCGTAGGTGCCATCATGAGTGTGCCTGTCACGCGTGTGCACTCGTGGACGTACCCGGCCCCTTCTCACTGGGAGGGCCGCACCCTGGTCCACAGGGGCCTTACCAACCCCAGAGGGTGGAAGGGACGCCCTTCCCTCCCCCACAGACATGCCAGCCCGTGGTAAGCCTCTGGCACCCAGTAACCCCTCTCTACAGCCATCAGCCATGTCTGGCGGTCCCCGGTGGGCATACCCATTGCCCTCCCTCCTGTGGTTTCCATTCGTTCCGTTACTCCGCAGGCGCTGGACGCTCCTTCCCACGCCCTCCCGGGCTGGGGGCCTTCCCTGCACGGGACGGGCTGCCGTGGAGTTGCGTGTCCTCGCGGCCTCGGTCTGAGGCCAGGGTAGGACAGCAGGCAGGACAGGTGCGCCACCGGATGGTTGGACCAGCATGCTGGATGGAGGGGAGAGCGTGAGTACCCGACACCGTTCCCCGCGGCAGGGTGCCCGGCTCCCCCGCCCCATCCCCGCCCCCGTGCGGAGCCCCGCCCAGTGCCCCAAGCAGGGAGAGTCGCAGGGCCGCCCCCCAGCCGCGTTCAGAAGTCTGGTGGAGCTCCTGGTAGAGCTCAGAGCCCACCACGCCTCCCACCCTGCCCTGCCCCTCCTCGCACTTCTCCCCCGCGCCCCTCCCCCGCGCAGCGCTCGCGCCCCCTCCCCGCGTGCGCCGGACCACCGGTGCTGGGGAGGGGCGGTGAGCTGAGGGCCCTAAAGCAGGGTGTCTGGGGCGATGCCAGCGGGGGGCAGTCACTGGGGGGGCTTCTGGGAGCAGCGGGCCAGGCAGCTGCAGAGACAAGTGCAGGTGAGTCTGGGGAGGGAGGAGGGGTCTCCACCACAGAGCCTTGGGGGGGCATGGGAGATTTGGGTGCGTGTTAGGGTCACGGAGTTGTAAACAGCACCCCAGCCCGCTTTGGGGCAGAGGCCCAAACCGATCCACCCATCTAGGCTTCCGGGACCCATGGGTGGTGGGCCTAGCCTGTCCTCCCTCCACCGCCGCCCCCCCCCAAGAGCCTGCCTTGTCCTCCCTTCTGTCCTCCCCATCTGACCTCCCACCCACCAGGGGCCTCCTCGGCACCCCCAGGGGACTGCTCAGTCTTCCCCTCTGTCCTCCTTCCCCACCTCCCACCCGGGTGCCCTCTGTCCTACCCACCTCTCTGGCCTGCCTCATCTTCCCCTCTGCCCTTCCCTCTCCCGCATTCCCCAAGCCCCCTTCTCTCTTCTGTCCTTCCCCCTCGCCCCCCAAACCCCTCCGCTCTGGGCTTCCTCCCCTGCCCCCCAACCCCGTCCGCCACGTTTAGTGGCTAAGCTGCAGGCCGTGAAGTGCTGGGGTCCCCGCCCCGTTGGAGTGTACGGTTGGATAAAGTGATCACAGAGCACATGCAAACTGTGACAATGTGATGGGGTAAATGCTGCAAGCGGGGTGGGGGGGGCACCTAGTCTTGCACGTGTTTATAATCCAGCCCTCGGGCCAGGCCGAGCCACCCATGTGTCCTGATGTGTCCTGATGACCGAGCTGAGTCCTGATGACAAGTGGGGCCCGGTCAGTGGTCCCCCAGCAGTGGGCCCCACAGCGGGCCAGGGTGCGGGAAGAGCCCTGGCGCCAAGAGCAAGCAGGCGCTGAGGGTGAGAGACGCTGGAAGAGCGGGAGCAGCCCAGGAGTCAGGCCGCAGGGTCCAGCAGGACTGTCAGGGTTTCTTCTTTACTTTGAGAGCAAGGAGACACTGCTGGAGAGATTTCAAGGAGGGAGAGGAGACTTGATTAAATCCATGTTTTGAAAATGCCACTTTGTAGAGAGCAGTGGTTCCAGGGCCAGAATGGCCATGACTAGAAGGGTGTTGCATGGGGGACTCCCCGGTGGCCGGAGGAGGAACTCGAGGGACCTGCCCCAAGCCAAGCGAGCAAAACTGGTGAAAAGGATAAAAAACCACCATTTAAAGCCTCTGGAAATTGTCCTAAGAGCATAGATAAAATGAAGAAACATTTGTTCAAGAAAATCTACGAAAACTCTCTAAGCACAGTGACCATCTGTGGCTTCCCCCTCCCTCCCCAGCTCAGCTGGGCAGAAGCTGCGCTCTGGACGGTTGTGCCCAGGAGACGCTCCCTGTCCCCCCCCAGGAGGGAAAGGCCAGCGGCATGTCTCACTCCCGCACAAACACTGAGTGGAGGAGGCCGGATTCCCAGCGAGTGTGTCGGGATCTCGGGCCGCCTCCACCAGCGTCCCCTCCTAGGATGGAGGCTCTGCCCCAAGAGCAGCCGGCCAAGAATCTGGAGTGCGGTTGCTTCGCTGGCTCACCTGTAGGACGCAGGCTCCTGGAGCACAGAGGCAAGCTGAAAGGACCCAGGCAGCCGCCCTCCCCAGAGCCCAGAGCAGAGCGTGTTCCCAGGAAAGGAGCCGGTTCCTGAGAACAGAGAGCTCTGAAGCTCTCCCCAAAGGAATTGACTTCATCCGAAACACAGTGTGGGGAAGTTCAAGCCCAATGGCACTCTCAGAAACAATTGTTTCTATTAATTAAGACAACAAATTAGTCCCTGAAGGCCACCGTAACAAAGCACCACAGAAATTTCTCGCACATGTCTGGAGGCTGGAAGTCTGCGATCCAGACACTGGGGGTTTGATTTCTGAGACCTCCCTCCATGGCTTGTGTCCTCACAGGTCTTTCCTCACCCTGGCGTCTGTGTCCAAATTTGCTCTGTATCTTATAAGGACACTACTCAGATTGGAGCAGGACCCGCCCTTATGGCCTCGTTTCAACTTAATCACCCATTTAAAGGCCCTATCTTCAAATGTAGCTGCATGCTAAGGTTCCGGGAGTTGGGACTCCAACATATGAACGACGGGGAGTAGGGGTAACCAAAGCCGGTCGGTAACTTGCAACAAGCTACTCCACAGGCCAGCTGGGTCACTGGAGAAGCCCAGGGCGACAGCTAAGAAGAGCCCTCCTGGGCTTAGAACAAACCTCAAAGACTTACCAGCCTTAAAAACTGTTCCAGCCCCAGTTTAACTGGACCAGACACTGAAAAAAATCATGCGCCAGGTCATTGTTAATTAGAGCAATCGTTCTGTAATTGTTGGAGCTTAACAGGTGGATTTGACGCCACATAAGGCAGACGGCTTAAAAGAGGACTCAGGCAAAGGAAGTCGACAGCCCTGCCCAAACCACCACGCCCCAGGGTGGCCGTGTGCAGGCCGGGGCTGCGTCCTCCATGGCGCCACCCCCAAGGCCTCCCGCCGCAGGGGAAACCGCCTCGCCGGAGTCGTCCAGCCAAGCGACCAAACAGCAAAGAACAGGAGCGAGCTGCAGAGAGGGAGAAGGGGGATCAGTTCCAGAATGTTTACAATATATTACCTAAAACATCCAGCTCTCGATAAAAATTTGCAAGACATGCAAAGAAACAGAAAAAGGAGACACAGGGAAAAAACAGGAAACAGAAACTGCCTGTGAGAGGGCCCAGGTGTTGGATTTAACAGGCAAAGACTTTGAAGCAGCCATTATAAATATGTTCAAAGAGCCAAAGGAAGCTGGACTTAGAGAAGTAAAGGAAACTATGGCAACATCTCATCAAATAGAACATATTGATAAAGAGATAGCAATTATTAATTTGTAATGGTAATCCTGGAGGTGAAAATAACTGAAATGAAAAAATTCCCAGGCCAGGCACGGTGCTCATGCCTGTAATCCAAGCACTTTGAGAGGCCAAGGCAGGAGGACTGCTTGAGGCCAGGAGTTTGAGACCAGCCTGGGCAACAAAGCTAGACCCCATCTCTACAAAAAATTAAAAAATCAGCCAGGCATGGTGGCATGTGCTTGTATTACCAGCTACTCAGGAGGCTGAGGCAAGAGGATCGCTTGAGCCCAGGAGTTTGAGGATAGCACCACTGCACTCCAGCATGGGCAACAGAGCAAGACCCCATCTCTTAAAAAAAAAAAAAAAGGCAAAATTAAAGCATTCTCAGAAAAAGAGAATCTGAGAAAATTTGTTGCTAGCAGATGCACCTTACAAGAAATAGTAAAGGAAATTCCTCAGGCTGAAAGCAAGTGGTCCCACATGGAAACTTAAATCCACAAAGAACATCAATAAAGGTAATTATGTAGTCGTAAAAGACAGTATACATGTATATTTCTTCATTTTCCTTTTCTTAACTGATTTAAAAAGCAAATGGATAAAAATGTGTATAATTATATTGTTGGCCCTATAACATATAGAAATGTAATATATTTGACAAAAAATAGCACAAAGGAGGTGATGAGAGCAAAGTTTTACTGGAGTAAGAAAATGACACCGAACAGTAACTTGAATTCATGGGACCAGATGAAGAGAAACAAAAATGGGGACTGAGAAGGGAAGTAGAACTTACCTGTACATATGTGCTTGCTCACCTTTCTTTTCTCACCTTTTTCATGAACGTGAAATTGTGTAATGATTATAACCGTGTATTGTGTCTGTAACATATACAGATGTAACTTGTATTATAGTAATAATATAAAAGAGAGAAAGACAGAATGGAGCATATAGGAATAATGTTTCCACACCTCACTGGAATTGTTGTTATAAATATGAAGTAGATTCTGCCAGGTTCAGGTGTATATGGTAGGCCCTAGAACAACCACTAAGAAAATAACTCAAAAATTAGTGAAAAAGATTATCAAAGCACTTAAAATGTTAGAAAATATCTATTTAATGGAAGATAAAGCAATGAAAGAAAAATAGAGGAACCAAAAAGACACAAACTATATAGAAAGCAAAAAGTGACATGGCAGGCATAAATCCAACTAAATCAGTAATATTAAATGTGAATGAAGTAAACAATCCAATCAAAAGGTGGAGATTGTTGATTGAATGAAAACCAGGATCCAACTATATGTTATCCGCAGGAGACACACTTTAGATTAAAAGGTACAGATATGTTGAAAGTAAAAAGACGGCAAAAGGTATGTCATTTCACTATCGACCACGAGCAAACTGAGTGACTGTGCTAATATTAATATCAAACCTAGAAGATGTTAAGACCAAAAATGTTACTAGAGAAAAAAAATGACATTTTCTAATGATAAAAGAGTCAGTCCACCAGGAAGATATAAAAATTATAAACAAATAGGCATGTACCTAACAACAGAGCTCTAAAATTAGTGAAGCAAGAACAGACGGAATAGAAGGGAGAACAAGGCAACTCAAAGTAATAGTTGCAGACTCCAATACTTTACTTTCAGTGGTGGGTAGACCAACTAGGTAGAAGATCAGCAAGTGAACAGAAGAACTGGATAACATTTTAATCCGACCATACCTAACAGATCTCCAGAACACTCTGCCTAACAACAGAATCCGTACGTATCAAGAGCACATTGAATGCTCTCCAGGATGGACAACACGCTAGGCCATAAAACAAGCCTGAGGACATAGAAATCATATAAAGTGTGTTCACTGAACACCATGGAGTAAAATTAGAAATTAATAACAAAAAGAAATTTGGGAAACTCACAAAAATGTGGAAATTAAACAAGACACTCCTAAATAACTATTGTGTCAAAGAAGAAATCGCAAGGGAAATTAGGAAATACTCTGAGATGAATGAAAATAAAGATATCACAATACAAAATCCTGTGGGATGCAGCTAAAGCCGTGCTTAGAGGGAAGTTTGCAGCTGTGAAACCTGTATTAGAAAAGAAGATGGATCTCACATCAACACCCTGAAGGCTCTGGATAAATCAGAACAAACTAGACCCCAAGCAAGTAGAAAGGAGCAAAGAAAAAAGATTAGAGCAGAAATAAGTGAACTAGAGCCACAGTCCCCAACTCCAGGGC